AAAGCTCCTCATAGATGAGCATGGTGGCACCACCCAGTAATTCCAGCACCCTGAGAGGCTGAGGCAGGAGGATTGTGAGTTTGACCCTACTCTGGGCAATGAGACCCACTATTGAGACCAGGGAAACAGCTCAGTGGCGTAAGTGCCTTCCTGACAAGCACAAAGTCCTGAGTTCAATCCCCAGTACCAAACCCCAAGTACCAAAAATATATACAAAGAAAAAAGTAAAATAAAATGAGACACAGTATCAAAATTTTTAAAAGAAGGGTTGGGGATGTAGCTCAGGGGAAGGCCCTGAATTCAATCCTTATTATTAGGGCTGGGGAGATGGCTCAGTGGATTAAGCGCTTCCCTGGCAAGTGCAAGGGTCTGAGTTCAATCCCCGGTTCTGCCAAAAAAAGAAAAAAAAAAATCCTTATTATCACAAAAAACAATGTCATCAGTTTTTATTTCTCTGGTTCAAATCATAATGATTCCTTAAGTATTATGTTCCTCTTTTCTTATACTTTGAAGCCACCTGATATTACAGCATTTGGGAGACTGAGGCAGGAAGATCACCTTGAGTTCAAGGCCAGCCTGGGCTACAAAGTGAGCTTAAGGCCAGCCAGAACAATCCTGCCTCAAAAACCCGGAAACAAACAAACAAAACCCCCAAAAGATAGCAGAATCAACCTTGTTTTTCTTTTGAATACAATCTCTTATCAACAGTTTTTGATTTTTATTTATGTTATAATCTTGAATCAATGTAACTGTGACTAAAGGGCCAGGGATGTAGATGAAAGGCATAAGGCCTGTCAGGAAAGGGCAAGGTCCTGTGTTGGATTCCCAATACAAAACGAACAAACAAACAAAGGTTACCTTTAGTCAAGTGATTGCAGCTATCACTAAAGTTCTTCATTTGTTACACACCTGAGAGTTGAAGTACGATGATACTTGTCCTGGATCATCTCTGCTTCTGTCACTTTTCTGTGCAGATTTCATGAAACCAGGGGGCAATGCAGGACCTATTATAGGCCTGAGAAACAACATATACCTTTATCAGTTACTTGCCTTTAAAAGCAGCTTTCAGAATAACAGTTCACAACAACCATAAAAGTCGATAACTTTATGTTGAAAATGAGAATTTAACACATTTTTATTACTTTTGCTTACTATTTTTCTGCTAGGTGTCTTAAACACAATATTAACATTTTAAACTATTTGTTAGTCAATTAGATACTAAACCAATAATTCTCAATCTTTGTGACAATGATGCATACCTAAAAGGAATATACTAAGTAAACATGATCACAACACTTTTTCCGAGAATCATGGAATAATTAAGATCATGACCTGAGTTACCACTGTAGTCAGAACTATTTAAGGAGAAACTGAGATCTTCCAAGGACATATCCAGTATATGCATACAGTGTGTGTCACTAATTGGTGGTGTATTTACCACAGTGATATACAAATTTATCCAGTGACAATATAGAAGTGTTTAGAATTTTCCTTTTTTTTTGGCTGGTTCAGGATTCCTTCAGGGCAGGTCTGGTATGGTTTGTGGATCTGGGGATTGAACCACAGCATCCTGATTGCTTTGTTTAAGCAGTCACTTAAACAGCTGAGCTAATGGGCAGGTGCCCGACAATACAGAAGTGTAGAAGAATGCAGCTGATTCATGGAGAAGCACAGTAGGATGAAAATGAGTTAAACACATTTCAACTGCTATACCTGCTTCTTTAAAACAACCTGGTCAGTGTAAGGGATTCCATTTTTAACAAAATTAATCCCAAAGGTCAACATACTCAGCAGGTGGCTGAGCTGGGTTTAAGCTGTGACATTCTTGTTGCCAAAGTTCATTTCCTTTCTTTTTTAGTACCAGGAATTGAACTCATGACCTTGCACTTTCCAGTCTGGTGCTGTGCTGTTGAGCTACATTCTCAGCCGAAGTTCATTTTCTTTTGTAGCTGCAGACTGCCACCCTGAAGTAACTGTTACTAGCTCAAAGGACAGAAGTGTCTGAATTATGAGCCTGATTTTATATAGGGAAAAAATAAAAGAGAAAGCATATTTTCTACTCTTTTTGATACTTCAGTTTCTCCATCCTTGCTTCTCTGTACCAGTGTTGTCGCCATGATTGTCATTATGCCAGTGGTAGCAACCCACATGGCTCTGAAGCCCTAAGTTGAATTTACCAGGTTGAAATGTGTTCAATTAGCGCCTCACAGATAAGGTTCCTGGCAGAGACAGTACTAAAAGAAAGTCTGAGTTCTGATCCTGACATTAACAACTTCCTGTCTTGTTTCATTTTTATTTATTTGTATTTGTTACTGATACAGGGTCTTTTTACTTCTGGGGCTGGCACAGCTTGCAGTGCCCAAACATGGGACCTTGCACTTGCCAGACAGGTGCTTGGACAGGTGCTATCTCTCTGGCCTCATTGTGTCTTGTTTCATAAAACCTTTCTGAGCATAAAGATGTTGCATTTGAAAGACAGGGAAGGAATCGGGAGATAGCTCAGCTGTCTAAGCACCTGCCTGTCAAGCACAAGGACTTGGGTTTGATCCCTGGTACTGCATGCTGTGCTGGCGTGCCGGCCACTGAAACCCAGCATGGTGGCACATGCTTGTAATCCCAGTGATGAGACAGGAGGATCACTACAAGTTTGAGCTGTGTAGCAAGACCCTATACCAAATAAATAGTGAATGAATGATTTTTTTAAAAAAAGAAAGAAAGACAGGGAAGTGTGGCCTTGTTAGAAAGGCCCAGTTAGCTATAATGCTATAAGGAAGCACAGCATGGGATTTTTACAATTACAAGCAGAGATACCAAGGAAATTATTGTTCAAAATTCTTGCCTCAGAAGATTTGTCGAAAAAAATTAGTGTTGTGAAAAAAACTTAAATATAGTAAATATGATATAAACATGGAATGCTATAGTTGTATAAGAATTTTTGATTTTAAAATATGCTAAATATATTTTAAATCACGCCTAGATTTAATTATTGGCAAACTATAATTCTCAAGAAAGAAACTGCTGCAGATCTAATGCGTGGGACCAGAAGTGTTTAAAATTTTATACTTTAGAATATTTGTATATACTGAATTAGGTATCTTAGTACTTAAATCTAAACATGAAATTTATTTGTATACCCCTTATACATATAACCTGAAGGTAATTTTATGCAAACAAAGTTTGTATACATGGAATCTTCAGACTATGTGATATCATGTTGGGCCTTAGGGTTTTGGATTTTGGAACATTTTGGCATTTCAGGTTGGAGATGTTCCAACTGTAATGTGTTTTCTTGAAAGAAATGTTATATCCCAAAGGTCAGTAAAATTTCTATTCAGGGATAGATAGTAAATTTTAGGCTTTGAGGGCCACGTTGGGTCTCTGTGGCTTATCTGTATTTTTGTAACTGCTATTTAAAAATTCAAAAATCATTCTTAGATTAGGGGTCATACCCCCTCAAAATACACACACACACATATGTGTGCATATATATGTGTGTGTGTATATATATATGTATATGTATAACCTAAAAGAACTTGAGTTATGTGAAAATTAGGACTACCAAACATAATTATAAATTCTGAACAAAACAAATATACATCTTTTCTACTTCTTCTATACTGGTATATAGTGCTATGAACTATAAACAATTTAGTGCATAATTTTATACTTGGCATTTAAAATGTTTATAGTTCTCAGAAGACAGGCAATAATATTTATTATACACTTACTCTGTGGCAGACACCAGTAAGATACACAAGTGTGTGTATACAAATAGGGAATCTCAACCATTACAACAATTTTGGAGGGTGTGTGCCACAATTGTATTTTAAAAATGACAAATTTGAGATTTGGAGAAGTTAGTCAAATTGTATTTTAGGATTTTTTTTCTTCTATAAGTAAATAATTAAGAAAACAGCTGAATTAGAAGTCCAAACCTCAGGATTCAAGTGCTAGGTCTACTAATTATCACAGTACTTTAAGTGTTTCAAAAGGAAGAGAGAGAAGACCATTCCACCCCACCTACCAGCACTTTCTGAATATCACATAAGAAGTGAAGATTTTTAAAATCTGTGAGTACCATAAGCATGTTAATATATTAATTATAAGAAACAACTATTGCTCTGTAAATAATTTCAAGTGTTTGAAATATACAAATTAAAAAATATCAGCTAATTCTTCAATGAGCTAATATACATTAATTGAATATAGGTATATTTTTAAGAGTAGAGGAACTTATTGAGAGAAGGAAAGGTTCTAACAAAGAGGGACAGAAGGGAGCCCAGAAAGTGGGTTGCCCCAGTTGAAATATTTTAGACTGGCTGGCATGAAATATTACACGTGATCACCTTGGAGGAGATTCATCTTGTTTTTTAAATCCAGGGGGAAGGGCAGGGCCAAAAAACCCATCATCACCTTCATCTTCATCCTGATTTCTCTTCTGTTTTCTGAAAACAGTAAAAATAAATGTATATAATGTATATATGTCTATACTTTTGCACAAAGAGAAATTTGTTGCTGTTGTTTCTGAGACAGAGTTTCACTGTTCAGGCTGCCCCTGAGCTCACTCTGCAGCCCAGGCTGGCCTCACTCATGGCGACCCTTCTGCCTCAGCCTCTGAGTGCTGGGATTGAGTGTGTCACCACTCCCTGCACAAAGAAATTTTAAAGGAAGCATCAACTTTAACCACGTGTATAAATACTAAAACAATAAATTAACTTTCCAAAATAAGAAAATATATACAATAGTTCTATATCTTTCTAGAATTTATTTTTGACCTAAAATAATTATCACTGTTATTTATTTATTTATTTATTTATTTATTTTTTTGCGGAACCAGGGATTGAACTCAGGCCCTTGCACTTGCCAGGGAAGCACTTATTCTACTGAGCCATCTCCCTGTCCCCTATTATTATTATTTTTAACTGGGGAAAAAAGAATATATTTAGAATTAGCCAGTTGGACTCAGTTTAGATGATCCCAATTTTGTTGGCAACATCCAATGCATCATAATCGGGAGCCAGTCGAACATACGCCTTCTTCTCTCCATCAGGCCTGAATAGGGTATTGACCTTGGCAACATCAATGTCATAGAGCTTCTTTACAGCTTGTTTGATTTGGTGCTTATTGGCTTTGACATCCACAATGAATACGAGTGTGTTGTCCTCGATCTTTTTCATGGCTGACTCTGTGGTCAGGGGAAACCTGATGATGGCATAGAGATCAAGCTTGTTTCTCCTGGGGGTGCTCTTCTGAGGGTATCTGGGCTGCCTCAGGAGCTGCATACTCTTGGGATAGCTGCATACTCTTGGGACAGTGGGTGACAGTCGTATCTTTTTTTTAAAATTTAGGACAGGGTGTACAGGGTCTCACTGTGTAGATCAGACTTGTAGTGATCCTCCTGTTACAGCCTCCCAAGTGCTGGCATTAAAGGTGTGCCACCATGCCCAGTTTCAATCACTGTCTCAGTGTGCCCTGGGGGTGGAACAGGCATGGCAGGCCCCGAGACTGAATTACCAGCCCTGTGCCCACTTGCAGGCGCTTTAATCCACTGAGCTACTTGGCCAGCCCTGTATCATCTTTTGTGGCTGTGGATGCCTTTCAACACGGCCTTCTTGGCCTTCAAAGCTTTTGCTTTGGCTTCAGCTTTGGTAGGGGCGGGAGCTTCCTTCTTCACCTTCGGCGCCATCTTGGTAAAAAGGCCTAGATTACTTTTTCGAAGCACTAATATACTGCTTTCTCTAATAATAAAGCAGTAATTCCATGCTTTTCTAATAATAAAGATTCCATTGAATATATTTTTGAAATGTCTTCTTAGATGTTTCTCAATGAAAAGGGTAAAAGTTAGCTTTTATTCTCATGTAAAGCAGGGCTGTAAATTGTTCTGTCTCATATTCATTTATTGCTTTTAAAAATTATTTATTTATATGACAAAAGGTCTTGCTACACAGCTCAGACTTGTAGGAATTTTCCTGTCTCAGCCTCCCCAGTGTTAAAATTACAGGCATGTACCACCATGCCCATTTTCGGCGGCTAACTCAGTGGTACAGGGTAGGTCGGTATGAAATGTGGTACTGGAGATAGAACCTGGGTCCTTGCACTTGCCAGGCAGGCCCTTAGACTGCCCAGCTATCTCCTCAACCCTGTCTCATACTCTTTAAAGTGCATAAAATAACTTGTTACTCAATAATATATAATTTTTTTTTTTTTTTTTCCGGAACCGGGGATTGAACTCAGGTCCTTGCGCTTGCCAGGGAAGCGCTTATTCTACTAAGCCATCTCCCTGGCCCCTACACAATAATAAAGACTCAAGTTCTTCTTTGAGTCAAGATCTCACTATGTAGGTCAGGCTTGCCTTAAGCTCACTATGTAGCCCAGGTTGATCTTGAGCTCACAGCACTCCTGCTTCAGCCTCCTGGTCTCCTGATTGCTGGGATTATAGGCATATGCCACAATGCCCCGCTCAATTTTTTATTTAGTTGGATTCATCATGACTAAGGTTAGATAAAAGTCAAATCATTCATTTATTTAAATAAAACATCCATTACATATGTAACTGTAAAAAGAAATTCTACAGTTTATTTAGAATATTCACTTCAATAAAACCTTAAGGAAAGGTTTTTATATAAGAATTTTACTGAAATACTATGTACTTCCACAGCTATACATGACTAGAATAACTTGTTAAAAAAGTATAGTTCATAATGAAAGGCCGTATTATATAATTTCTTACTGTGCTATATAAATCTAAATATAACATCCTCTTACTAGCCATCTGTGTCAGTCACCTCACACCAGGTTGGAAGCTGGCTTATTACATAAGTGACTTACCTTGTAGGTGGACCGGTGTCATCTTCTTCAGATTCTTGATTTCCTTCTTCATATAGAGAACTGCTGTCTTCATCACTTTCTGATGAATCTGAACTACTGCTTTTATAATTAGGGGGCAGAGCAGGTCCTGCAACTAAAGAAGATGTGTTGTGTGTAATAATGAGCCACAACTACTTTACTGAGTGCTCCTGGCATGTATTTTTCATTTTCTGAAATTCAAAGCACTTACGGATTTTAATTTTACTCACTACTGTGTTGTACACATTGCTTTTGTCTTTCCAACTCCAGGAAGGCAGAAAACATATCTTATACCATCTTTAAAAAAAAAAAATTCCACAAAATCTTAGTTACTAAACTTAAAACCATAATTTTTCTGATAATATGAAATTTTTGTATTGATTGGTATACCTGCCAAAACAGCATTTTTAAAAAATAGGTAGAACATGGTAAACAATAGTTATGTTTATGCCATGGAGTTCAACTACAAATTTGCCATTCCATAGTGTATCAAATCAAAATGATTCACTCTGACTTCTAACAAACATTTCTTTCAAAAATGTATTTATTGGGACCGGGGAGATGGCTCAGTAGGATAAGCGCTTGACTGGCAAATGCAGGGATCTGAGTTCAATCCCCGGTTCCGCCAAAAAAAAAAAAAAAAAAAAAAAAAAAAAAAAGTATTTATTAGCATCATCATATTTCTCAGTTTTTCTTTCAAGTTCATTTTCAGAAAGAAACAAAATTAGAGTCACTCTGAACTTTATTGCTTGCTATTGGTGATACACAGGAAAAGAGAATGAGGATCTGATGGGGATACCGGGGAGGGAGTGAGGGTCTTCTGTTCAGGAAAATTACAAATTACTTACTGCTTAGTGGCACTGCATGATGTCAGAGTCACAATTATCTATGTTGATCCTCAGAAGTGATGCTAAAAATCTACCGTCCTACTTCAGTCATAGCAAAATACGTATATTTTTAAAGACTCCTATTTCTTTTTCTATAACTTACTTGGCCTACAAAAAGGCCTGAAAACATGATTATGGGTTTAAGTGTTACACCTGTCCCAGGGTGTGTAGCCTGCATATAATACAAGGGAGGAAAAGAGGCTTGCGCTCCCTTCTCGTGTTTGGTAATACAAAAGAGCACTCTATTATTTTTGAATTTCAATTAAAAATTATAGAAATTGGTTTTCTCTTCTATATACATGTAGATCCTGTCCTGTGATCTACAAAGTCTGAAATACATAGTTCAGTACAAAGACCCAGGGGGCAGTAAAAAGACCAAGGCTCCATTGAGTGTTGGAGTGTATAGACTGGTTTTAAAAAAGCATGCAGCCCATTGTTTCAACATGGCATGATCTCAGGAGATATTTCCAAGCACTCAATTTCTAGAGCATATATTTGAATGAAGTTTATTGTTCCCGAGATGAATACCCTTCTCTTTTCCACTGAACTGGTTATTCCTGTCCATGATTTCTCTCTTATTCCTGTCCATGATTTCTCTCTTATAGATAGCCAAAGAACACAGGAAAGTTATCTGACCAGGCTGGAAAATCACAATTTAACGGACGTTCTGATACAAGCTAGACAGATGAGCCCTCAGGTCATTATTCCTAGTGAAATAAAAGCAGTCATAAAAACTACACCTACTGTTATTTGATTCCATTAATGTGTGATACTTAGTGTAGTCAAATGTCATATGAAAAGAAAGTGGAATATGATTGTCAGGGGCTGATAGGAAGGCAGATTAGGGAGCTTTTGGGTAATGGACACAGGTTTCCATTTTGCAAGATGAATTCTGGAGAGGGACAGCAATGATAACTGCACAAAAATGGAAATGTGCCTAAAGCCACTGAATTATACTCTTAATGGTTATGATACAGAATAGTGGTACACATCTAGGCTTGGCAGGTGCATCCCCAGCTTAGGCAACTTAGCAAGACACTAACTCAAAACAAAAAGTAGAAGAATGGTAGGGAATATAGCTCAGTGTAAGGGCCCTGTTTTAATTTCCAGTACCAATCACAGAAAAAAAGGTTAATATGGTAGGCTTTTGTGTGTATTTTATATACAGATGTCAGATTTATAAAGACAGTAACAATATAGTACGGTAGAGAAAGAATACCCTGTTCAGTAAATGGAACCAGGTCAGCTGGATGGAGAAAACAGTCTTCACTCTACCTCACACCATATAACAAACATCAATTCCGGATGGACTATAAAAGTAAGGCTGGGTGTGGTGGTGCACATTTTTTTCCCAGCTATTTGGGAGGCTGAGAAGTACAAATTTTGGGTGCAACTGTGGCAACTTAGTAAAATCCTAAATTTAGTGGTAGAGGTTTTTTTTTTTTTTTTTTGGTTTGGTTGTTTTTTGTGGAACTGGGGATTGAACTCAGATCCTTACATTTGCCAGTCAAGCGCTTATCCTACTGAGCCATCTCCCCGGCCCAGAAGGAATTTTTTTTTTTTCTCCCAATGCCTTCAGGGCAGGTTTGGCTGGCTTGAGTTGTGGGGATCCAACCACAGCAACCTGAGCCTGACAGCTTTGTTGAAGCAGCCACTTAAAGAACTGAGCTAAGGGGCAGGCCCCC